ACATTCACATTGATAAGAGTGTAAATTGGCCCGAAGCCGACCACAGCCCGAGGCGGGCTTGGCCGCACCGTGACAATGTGAATATTCACATTGACATGTTAACATGCACATTGATAGGAGTGTAAAACTTGTCCGTTGCCCAAAGCTCGCCCGCGGCCCGGGTAGGCCCGGACCCAAAACCCGAGCCACCCCAGGCCGCCCACGGGCTTCGGGCTGCCCATGGGACGCGAGTCAATTTTACACTCTTATCAATGTGAATGTTAACATGTCAATGTGAATATTCACAATTGTCAACAGGCCGGGCCGGGCCTCTCGGGCCTCCACGGGCCGTGGGCATGTTTCGGGCAGCCACGGGGCACGGGCTAATGTTACACTCTTATCAATGTGAATGTTAACATGTCAATGTAAATATTCACGTTGTCAACGGGTCGGGCCCGCGTCGGCCCGGGGCCGGGCTTCGGGCTGCCCACGGGTCACGGCGTAATTTTACACTCTTATTCAATGTTAATGTTAATATGTTAATGTGAATATTTACATTATCAACGAGCGCGGCTGGGCCCGTCCTAGGCAGCGTGCGGGCTTCGGGCGCCCACGGGCCACAGGTCAATTTTACATTCCTATCAATTGAATGTTAAATTATGTCAATGTGAATATTCACATTATCACGGGCGGACCGGGCCCCCGGGCCGCCCATGGGACGCGAGTCAATTTTACACTCTTATTAATGTGATGTTAATATGTCAATGTGAATATTCACATTGTCAACAGGCCGGGTCGTGCCCGCCCCGGGCTGTCCACGGGCCGTGGGCTAGTTTCGGGCAGCCACGGGGCGCGGGCTAATTTTATACTCTTATCAATGTAAATGTTAACATGTCAATGTGAATATTTGCATTATCAACGGGTCGGGCCGGGCCCGCCCAGGGCAGCCCACGAGCCGCAGGCGGGTTTCGGGTCGGCCACAAGCCGCGGGCTAATTTTACACTCCTATAATGTAAATGTTAACATGTCAATGTGAATATTCACATTGTCAACGGACCGGGCCGGACCGAGCCCGCCCCGACCCGGGCCCGGGCTTCGGGCTGCCCATGGGTCATGGGCCAATTTCACTCTTGTCAATGTTAAGTTAATGTTAATATGTCAATGTGAATATTCATATTGTGAACGCCGACTTGGGCCTGCCCCGGGCGACGGGCTGGTTTCGGGCCACCCACGGGCCGCAGGCCAATTTTACACTCCTATCAATGTGAATGTTAACTTGTCAATGTGAATATTCATATTATCAACGGGCCGGGCGGGCCTATTTTTTTGGCTTGTGGGCCGGCCCGGCCCGACTCGAATTTTTTCGGGCACCTACGAGGATCGACATGAGCCGGGGCCCTACACATTGACGATATAAACATTTATTTGACGGTGTGAACATTCACATTAAAGGTATTTTGGTAATTATGTCACCCATAGAACTTATTGAAACATAAGAAAATAATGTGAACTAAATGGAACATAAGTAGATGAAAAGGGTATTTTTGGTCTTTCTTATCTCAAATTGGACCTAATGGAATACTCAAAAAGAATATGGGTTGGATGGAATAAAGCTCTTAGAAAATGGATTTATCAAAAAAGCTCCCAAAAAAATAACTTTTTAACTTATTTCCTAAACTATACCCTCGAGGTTGGGACATAGGAGAAGTTGGAGTAGTGAAAGTTAGAGGTGAATGGAAAGAGAAAAAAATTGGGAGCTAGATTTTGAGTTTTTAAGGATTATTTTGAGAAGATGGTTAAAAATTATTTTTTAGTTTTTAACCTATTTTACATTACATTATTTCTCATATTTTTTTTTTACATTTTTTCAAGAAAAAATAAAAAAAAATCAAAAAAGTCAGTTTCTAATCACCTTCAACCTAGTTTTACCATTGTACAATAATTGATTTTCAAAATTAACTGAGAAAAATTACGAATATTAAAAACCAAGATGAAAAAAAATACTCTAAGAATTAAAGTGACAAACTGCAAAATAGAAGGACGAAGTATAATTTATCAATTTTGCCCGTGTGACATTTTTTCATCAAAATAAGATAAAATTAACGTGCAAGTAAA